TGAGAGTGAAGTGCTCTGTTAGGATGATAAGGCTCTACGAGGTCTTTAAGATATGATGGAGCCTTGTCATTAAGGGCTTTGTATGTTAGGAGAAGGATTTTAAATTCTATTCTGACTTTTACAGGGAGCCAGTGGAGAGAAGCTAATATGGGAGAGATATGATCTCTCTTGCTCGTTCCTGTCAGTCCTCTGGCTGCAGCATTTTGGATTAACTGGAGGCTTTTTAGGGAATTATTGGGACATCCTGATAGTAAAGAGTTACAGTAGTCCAGCCTGGAAGTAACAAATGCATGGACCTGTTTTTCAGCATCACTTTGAGACAGGATGCTCCTGATTTTTGCAATATTGCGCAGGTGAAAGAAGGCAGATCTAGAGACTTGGTTTATGTGTGATTTAAAGGACATATTCTAATCAAAGATGACTCCAAGGTTCCTCACAGTAGTACTGGAGGCAAGAGCTATGTCATCTAAAGTAACTATATGATTACACATCAGATTTCTAAGGTTTTTGTACAAACAAGTTGACAGAAAATACAAACTATGGATAAATCTTGTACACGTGTTTTAAAAGATATTGTGCAACCTACACTGGCTTCTTTACCTCCGCCAAGGGTGTCTTGTTTTAGTTTGTACTTCCTCCCCCCCCACCCCAGTGTCGCTCCACCTGCCTCTGTCTCCTCCCTCCTCTTCCCGCCTCCCTCTCCTCAGTCTGGCTGCTGCTGCTCAGAGAGGAACAGCTCCGTCCGCTTGCCCGTCTGTCTCCGTGCCTTTCCGCCCGGGTCTACCTGTCTCTCGGTCTCTAACTCTTCCTCTACCTGTCTCCCCCCTCCCTCCGTCCCTGGCCACCCCCCTCTCGGTGCGGACATGCAACCGGGGCTCCGGAGATGAGGCTCCGAAATGTCTCCTTCCTGACGGTGTTGTTGTTCGGGCTGTGCGGGCTGGTCTCCTTGTCCTGGTACACCGCCTTCAGCAGCTCCAGAGGTAAGTCTTGGTCCCGGAGCGTCCCGGTGTATGTCTCTGTGTATTTCGGGGGTGGGGGCGCTCGGTTTGTCGTGCCCTACACGCAGAGCTCGGTTTGTGTTTTGGATGTTGCAGAGAAAAAGACATGATGGTGTTGGTGTGGGGCTGCAGGCTTCAGATGGTCTAGAGGTGAAGGGAGCGCTTGGTTTGTGATGTATTGCGTGCCAACCGAGTGGAGAGGGTTTATGGCGAAGTGAGAAGGGGGTGAGGGGAGAGGTTGGTTTGATTTTGTTGCAGGAAAAAGGAGACATGGTGCTGTGATGTGAGGGGAAGCTCCAGAGTTGAGGTAATGAAAGCTTAGTTTGTGACACCTGAACAGACAGGGTCTAAATGAAGGAGATGGAAAAGGTGGTGTGGTTGGCTGATCTGTTGTAGAGTAAAATACAAGATGCTTGTGCATGTAGAGGGAAGCTGTGGCTCTGAGGTACGAAAGGGAGAGCTTGATTTGTTATGCATCACACACAGGAGAGATGGGGAAGGTGCTGGGGGAGGCTGCTGGGGGTTTTGATTCTGTAGCAAAGAAAAACTTGAGATACTTGTGCAGGTCAGGGAAAGCTCAAGTCTGAGGTCATGAAGGGAGCACCTGGTTTGTGATGCACTATAGAAGCAGCTTTAGATGTAGGAGGGGTTGGTCTAATTAGACATTTATCAGAAACTAGTCATTTCAATCAGTGTGCCAGAGTTGGTGGAGGAGAGCCACAGAGGGACGGGTCTGATTCTGTTGCATCACCACCTTGTGCTTTGGTTGAGTATGTTGCAAAAACTGTGACACTGGCTGTGAGGGGAAGCTCCTGCACCTGAGGTAATACCAGGGAGCACTTGGTTTGTGTTGCAGCACATGCCAGGGAGAGGGACTGTTAAACAGATTCAACAGGAGGGAGGTGTTGTAAAGTGCAGCCATGCTGTGCATTAATGTCAGACTGCTGAAAGGGCGTTTGGTTTGTGTTAACGTCCAGGAGACGTGTGATAGCTCAAAGGAGGAGAGAAAACGATGGAAAAGTTTCTGCTACAGACGACGTGAAGATGTTTGAAAGTGTGATGGAGTGCTCCATTTGTGCTCTGAATGGGGGGAGCGGGGTGTGGAGAGTGGAAAGACTGAAGGGGGGCGCTTGGTTCAAAGGTACGGAGCTGGGATTGGGGGACGGGACACAAGAGAGGGGAGTTTTTGGATTTTGTAAACAAAATGGAGTGCTCCATTTATCCTCCACAACAAGCCTGGGAGGGAGGGGACACTTTTGTCATTGTGTTTTTGTCTGTTAACACACAGATAGGCTGCACATCATAGGGTCAGCTGCCCCAGGAGTGATTTATAGTGCATTACAGGTCGGGGCGGTGGGGGGGTTTGGTTGTAGCGTTCAGCTGTCTTTTGCATGATGCTGTGATGCAGGAACATCATGTGGGTGTTTATGCACATGAGAGCTGCAGGCTCAGCTGGCAGCTGCAGCTTCAGGTCCATGGGAGCACTTGCTTTGGGACTTCTTACAGCCTGTGGCATGGATGAGGAGGAGGTTGTTCAATCTGGGGCTTTTCTGTAACATATTAATACAGCTGCTTGTTTTCTCTGCTGCAGAAACAGATTGCTCAACTAAAAAGGAGCGTTTCATTTGTGACTTCTTACAGCCTGGGAGGGCGGTGGACAAAGAAGGTTTTGATTCTGTAGCAGCTGCTTGTTGTTTGCATCATTTTCTGCTTCAGAAACATCCCTCAGCCGAAGATGCTATCTGGAGCTTGTGACTGCTGTGCTCGGTGTGTTTGGGGCACCCAGGTGGAGACAAGGGGGTGCTTGGTCTGTGCAGCTCCTGTGTGCCATGCCTCATGGACGTACACACAGCCGTCACCGGATCACTGTCACACTGAAGGGAAGTTAGAAACTGGAGGGTTCTCAGGCGGGTTCTGCAGCCTTTGCTCCTCTGGGTTCTACGTGGATCTGTGGAGGTTTGTTCTGGAGTCAGAGATGATGCCCCGCCTGCCAAGGGTTAGTCCCTTGTATGTTTATCCATATAAAGCCTGTACATGGTGTTGCTACTGCGGGTCAGCTTTGCAGCTCTGGAGCTGTGCTGTGCCTCCTGAAAGTCAGTGTTGTAAACAGTCTTAGTCCGGACTGGTTTTTACTCCCAGCTTAACTTTCATGACTCCTGATTTCAGACTGCTTCGTTGTGACGTCCTATGAGAAGCGTTGATGTGACATCTGCTATGTTCCATATAGATTGGCTGTGGGATCAGTCAGGCAGAGGAAGTGTGTGAGGGTTAACTATAGGCTCAGGTTCAGAATTGCCTGCTCAGTTTTCACGTGTCACATCTGTTCACTTCAGCTCCGCTGTCGCCAGAGGGTTTCCTCTGAAGCTCAGGTGTGTCTTTTAACATTTACATTATTTTTCATTAAAGAGTTGTAAGGTACACAATTACACATGTATTACTTTACATAAATAAGGATGTCAAGGGAACTAATAGCCCCCCCCCCTTACCTCGGGCCCTCGGATGATGTCACTGTTTTCTCATGTTTATTGAGCTAAAAATAATGTGCCAATAAAGTCGGCAGGGGTTTTGACATGTAGACTGTGAAAAGGAGCTGGGGAGGAGAAGTGTCAGCTCTTACTAAGAACGCTGCGTGGGTTCAGTCATTATTAACCCTCAACAACTTTACAGAAGTGGGGTTTTCACCTGTTTGGACATGTTTGAATCCATATGTTAGCTTTAAAATCGAACACAAAAACAATTTCAGGTCCTTTGCAGACTCCTAAATGAGAGACCCACTACTCCTCACAGATCCTGAACACCAGTGCCCCTCCCACATCCTCAAATTAAAATCAATCCCCACCCACCCACACACACACCATTGATCCCCAGCATGTTAACATGGCTGGAGAGACAAACCACACAGGCCTGCACGGGACCCGCCTGTTGTGCCTGGTTGTGCAGATGGTGTGAGATGTGAATGTGTGAAATGTGAATGTGCTGCAGGAGAAGCAGAGCAGCAGTTTGTGGCATCTGCTGAAAGTGGCTCAAGTCGTTCATTTAACTGAACAGAGGGGACATTTGAGAGCCACATCCCGTGGAGACTGCTCTCATATATTTCTGACACTGTGACCTTTATCAGTGAACATGTGCAGCAGAAACAGCCAGAGCTGCACAGAGTCTGAACTTTGAGTTAAAGTCCAGCACTAAAGTAGAAAGCCGACACTGTCTTGATGTTTGGAGACCAGAATCAGTGTGAAACCTGTTTTTCACTGAAAATAAGACTTGGAACTTTATCCATAAGTGTCATCAGCCTGTGACAGACTGGCAGCCTGTCCAGGTGTAGCCCCCTCTGGCCCAGTGTCCGCGAGGAGGCCGCACTGTTCATCAGCAACATACTCTCGATACCAGCCTTTACATTTAAAGTCGCACGCTTCTGTGTGTGAACATGAGTGCACACCTCCACAAATCCCTTCATAAAACAGACCCCTGAGGGTGTGCTCCTGTCCTGCAGAGACAGACACAGCTGACGAAGCAGCCGTGTGCCAGAGTGTAGTTCGCTCATACAACTTGTCTGGAATCATATAAAGCCTGTCTGACATAAACATGACTTGTAAATGTCCACCACGGTGTCATTTGGGCATTATTAGTATGCTCTGTTGTGTACACGAGGAAATTTAGACCTCATGGTGGTGCTGAGGAAGACGGATCAAGAACACTGTTCGGATTCAGCCTCTGGGGAACAGGAGTATTCATGAAATCTGATGAGCAGCTGTAAGATGACATCACATTGTTGGAATGGCAAACATACCTCATCTGAGCACAAGAGATGCACTGCAGAGTACTACCGGCTGGCTGCTCTCCCCGCTGTGGGAAAGCAGCACATTCTCTCTGTTTAGTTGCCAAAACCCTGGATTAGACCCAAAGTTCAGAGGAATCAGACACGGCTGTGATGCATCCATCTTCCTGATGTGTGTGTTGTCTCCCATCATGCTCCTCTGCATCCTCTCCGGACGAAGGTGTGTTTCTGCTGCAGAGCGGAGGCTGACTCACATTGATGGCAGATTAACCAGCCAGCGCGTGAGTGTCGGAGCACTCAGGGTAAATTAGTTCAGTCAGTGGAGCTGCTGACAGAAGGCACATTTCATTTATTCATACCTCTGCAGCGGAGATGTCATTTGAACAGTGGTGGGGTCAGAGGGCAGCACCTTGTAATCCAGCCCTGTGATTGGCTGTATGTGAATCAGTTTGTTCCCCTTGTGGCGGCCGTGGGAGGCATCCTCAGGCCTGAACAAACAGGACTAAAGCCTCCAGTCGACTGGGTTTCTGCTGAGTGATTTAAATGCTGTTGTGTTTCACCACCTCCCCGGTAACAACTCCATTCACAGTGAGCTCCTGTTTTCTGTGAACCGGCTGCTCTTCCTGTCACCATCAATCCAATCCACAGCCACATCCATCGCTTTGAACCTGGAGCTCTGAGGATTTCTCCTTCTAGTGCCTTTTAGCAGCTCGGTGTGAGATTTGACTTTCCAGGAAGTGAATTGTTTTGTGCTGCTCTGACAGGTAGAAACATGCAAACACCAACATGCAGACCTGTTTGGGAACCACAGTTAAAGCCCTCAGGAGAGCAAGACCCTGGAAAAGCTCAGCAGTGTGTTGTAATGCCAGCTGCAGGTCAGTACTGCTGCTGTCTCTCAGCATATATCAGTTTCTGTAAAGCAGCAGATGGAGCAGCGAGCAGCTCCTGTGTGCCATGCCTCATGGACGTACACACAGCCGTCACCAGATCACTGTCACACTGAAGGGAAGTTAGAAACTGGAGGGTTCTCAGGCGGGTTCTGCAGCCTCCGCTCCTCTGGCTTCTACGTGGATCTGTGGAGGTTTGTTCTGGAGTCAGAGATGATGTACTCCTGTTTTTAATGCTTTCCACCTTGTATCTTAGTTTTACATTTTTATGGTCTAGGTGTGATTGTAGTAATCATTGCTGCTGCTAGTCGATACCTGAA